AATAAAAATGTTTTAGAAAATATATATTTACTATTTTAAAAATTACAAATGTTTTGAGTCTTTAACGAGCTCCGATAAATGTTTTGAAAAATGTATATTTTTAAAAAAAATAGCGTTATAGTAGCGTTTATATTAAATAAAAAAAAACGACTCGACTCGGCTCGGCCCATTGACACCACTATAGTTGACTAAAGATATCAAGATCTAAGTTCAAATTGACAACATAATTGTAAGGACTTAATTGGATTACTGTGGGATATATTATCTCATATCCATTCCTATAATATAATAGTGATGCCTATAAGGATGAAAGATAAGTAATAGACTTTTAATAATTCTTATGTGTCGAAAATCAAGCCAAGTAATGCAAGTTACTTGTAATAAGAAATCACTTATATGATAGAGACGTGGGGCCGCTTCTAAGGAAATTGTGTAGGGCCCAATTCTTATAAACTCTCATAGAACCGTCGCATATTCATGGTCATAAACAAACATAACAATGAGAACTGAATTGTGTTATGAAGAAGCCTATATGGAGTATATAATCATTTACACAATGCAGAACAGTTCAAAAACATCTTGACCACTAGATAGCTAGTAAAGTATATATTTTCACAAGGGAATATTCAAAGAGAATACCTACTTATCCTATGTAGGTTCCAATTGTTGAATTATATCACCAAGTCATTGTCTCCCTTGTTTGTATCTCTTTCAATTTTCATTCGTGTGGGAGATTGTTGGAAAAATGGCATAATGAGCAGGCTGATTTTGGCATAAATTTGAGTAGGACCTATTTGTTCATTTTGGAAGATCAAAGTTGATTCGTGTTTTCCTCTGTATGAATATTGAAATCATATATTTACTTGCTAAAAATGATAATTAGGTGAATGAGAAATTGGAGTTCAAAGTGAACAAATGGAAGATGTTAATATGTATTGGAGGGAAAACAAATTACGAAATATCATTTTTTATATGGCTACACTTTGAAAGTGAATAATCATGTGTAGGATAGACGTTCTCTCCACGTGTGTATATATGGAGTGCAAATCAAAGACCAAATCAAAATTTTAGACTTTGAACTTGTGTACAAGTGCGACCTGTGTACACAAATGTCAAATCGAACGGATCAAAATTGACCTCTTAGGAGTGTCCATGTTTAGCTTTTATTTCCTATATAATAAATTAATTTTTTTCCTTCCAAACTGTCTATTCAACTCTCAAACAGAAATGTAACCAGTGGCGAACCCAGCATTCGGCGCTCCTCGGCGGCCACGCGTGCTGGATCCGTCGAGAACAGTTTTTTTTGTTGACAATGAATAAACTTTTCAGATTATATACCTGGTAAGTTGTTTTATTTTCATACATTTCTTTTAGCTCAGCTAGCTAGAACTTGTATATTCACATGAGAGATCCCACTTTCGAATCTATTTCCCAACAATTTATTGTGAATATTTTTAATTCTACAATTTTTACCAAAATTAAATGGGATAAGGGAGAGGATTCGACCCTTTGACCTCTCCATAAGATATTGAAAACTTAAACCTTGTAGCACTCATAAAATTTGATACTAAATTTACCAGAATAATATATGTTACATATTAGCGGTTTTAATGCAATTGTAAAAATTCGAAACCGTGTTCTTCCTTTGAATTATACAAAATTTGACCACAAAATCATTTGGTGAATATTTTTAATTTTTACAACAAAATTATATATGTTTAGTTTGAACAAAATAATTGTTATATTTAAATTTTAGATCTTGTTTGATTTTTTTTTCAAAATACATTTTCTCTTTTTTCAACCTCACATTTTCCAATAAAATAATATTACATACAAATTCAAAACTTTTCCTTATTTTTAACCGCACATTCTCCATCAAATCATTATTCCAAAATGTATTTTTTGCAAAAAAAAAAAGAGCATCAAATGGGGCTCTTAATATTTTATTACTGACAACGGTTGGCGATCTAAGGTCGCCCGTGCTGACTCGAAATTCTGGGTCCGCCATTGAATGTAATGGTGAAGTTATTTGACCATATTAATTGTGATGTTAATTGTAATAACACCCATGGGAGGACCTAGGGGAGTCTTAGGAGGGCAAGTGCCCCCCAAGCTTTTGAGATTTTTTTTTTTATAAAATCGTGTTTGGTATCGATTGAAATCTAAATTTTAATTTAAATCAAAATTAACAATTAATTTTAATAACATATTTTATGAAATCCATAACTATTTAACTTTTATCAAAATTTACTAAAAAATTGATTTTAATCTCCACTAAATAGAGACAAAATCACAATAAATTTGAATTTCGATAACAAGTTAATTTTAAAAATTCTCCAACAATCGTACACNTAAACATGAGTCTTAAAAAAAGACGTCTAATTCACATTTTTTTTAAAAATCAATTATTTCATTAACATTTATTATTTTTGCGATACAAATTTCTCAATATAATTTTCATCATTTTATTAGGAAATTTTATATGAAATATGACATCAAAAATTTTCGAAATTTTACATCCGAAAAAGTCATATCCCATGTAAATTTTCGGATGTAAAATTATATAGGGTATGATTTTTTTGGACGTAAATTTTCGATTGTAAAATTTCTCCCAACTTCTTTACAAGTTTGATTGTGCCCCCTAACTTTTAAGGTCTGCGTCCGCCCCTGAAAACACCCATAACTGTTGGCTTGAAATCACTCGTTACGAAGCCATTAGTCACTCATTTTGGAGCCTATGAATAGAGCTCGATTTTCTTTGTCCGATGACCATGAAATTCTATTACATTCCCTGCATAAAATTCCAGTCTTCTATCTGCAAGTCTTTGTAGTTTCCACTCCTAATAACTAATTAACAGAAAATTGAAGATTAGAATGCATCGAAAAAAGTTAAAGACATAAATTTTATAATGAGCAAAGATTTAAAATATATATAATAAAATCAAAATGTGATGGTATGAATATAATTAAAAACCAAAATCTAAAAAGGTTGCATTTTTGCGTTTCTCAAATTGATGTTAGATAGTATAAATTCTTTTACTAAACACCTCAGATTACTTCAGATTCTTTGAGAATTAGAAGTTGGTTCTAAAACCAATTCTATATTTATCATGTACGCCTCTGTTTGGTGCATGTGCAAGAATGTATTTTTTTGTTTGATGTGATCGAGAATATGTGGTTGAAAAAGAAGGAAAAAATTATTGATGTGATTAAAAATATTATTTTATTAAAAATGTATGGTTGAAAATGAATAGAAGAATGAAAATGAAAGTTATAGATGGCAAGAGTGGAAGTTGACGTGTTTCTTTACATTCGTGACTCTTTTATCACCATGCAATTTCGAATCCAACGGCACGTATCTAGCCCCACTATTCAGATAGACACAAACTATCCTCAATTATTCCCACATTTCTCCAACTTTCAGAAAGTGAGAAAAAGGTCGAGAAAGCTGTATTTACCTTTACTGAAAAAATCCCACCATCAATCAATGAGAATGTGACACGTTTCCGTTTAGAATCAGTGCTATTGTCTCTACCGTTGTCAGCGGACCTACCCCTCCCTAATTCAATAGATAAAGCAAACAAGTTCTGCGATCTTTCGACCGCCCATTTTCCAAAGAACATGATCCAACGGCTGGGATGCATTTGTCAGACTCGCGGTGTACCAAAATATTAGCCTATTATTATCCGCCACGTTGCGAGAATAGTGCTGATTACCTGTAGTCGCCGGTCACCGACCGGCAACCGCATTGAAAAACAAAAGCATCCATAAATATTCTTTTCTTTTTCCATTTCTGAACTTTTTTCGTTTTATTTCCTTCTCAGTTGAAATTTTTCTCCCTTTTTATTTCTGGGATTTATTGCTTGGCCGAGGAGAACAACAGAAAGAGGGCAAAATAATCTTATGAGAGTTATCTGTGTATTTTTGGGTTAATATTTCATTTTATTTTTTATTTTTGTTGTCATAGATATTGGATTTTTAATTGTGATAAGTCTGGAGTTTGTTTGATTATATTTTAGGAGTAATTTGTTGGTTCCTGGAATTAGTTTTGATCAGATTCCGGTAGCTTAAGTAGGTTATTGTTCGTCAAGAATTATCTTTTATGAACTGAGTGAATTTGGTGAAATATTTGAATTTTGATCTTGGTTTTGAATATATTTATAAGGTCGAAGAGTTGGATTGGATTTTCAGGGTGTCGAGTGATACAAGATTATTGGGCTTGGGAAGTCTGAGGTTTGACGGTTCGAAATTTGTCTGGGGTAATTGCATTTTTGTGAGAAAGGGGTCGTTTTAGTAATTTATTTTGTGTAAGGAACGTAAGTTGATGTTTTCAGAAGCAATATGGCTGCCGGGACTGATTTTCCGCCTTTGTTCAGTACCATAGAAGGTGATTATAATAGTGATGATAATGTCGCCGCTGCTGGGAAATATGGTATAGATGATTCGAGGAAATCCTTGAATGGTAGACCTCCAAGGAATCTTTCCATTGTACGGCATTCTATAAGCACTGCAACACTAGTCTCACCCTCAGATTTGGTAAGTAAATTCTTTTCACTAATTAAGCTTCAGTATTGTCTAGTTCCGTTAATCAACTTCAAAGTTTCCTGTTTACTAGTACGTAGTTTATTATGATATCCGTTAGGTATTTGTTGTTTCAAATTCTTGCTTCAGTATGATATGTGAGTAGAAATACTTAAATCTTTAATTATGAAGTGATTATGTGTTCCTTTTAGTGCATTGCAGGTCCTGTTGTATAGTCGCTCATGCATTTGTAACTTCTATGATATTCCATTGTCGAAATTCATATTTTGAAAAGTAAAGTTTTCAATATTAGCAATATCTGTTTTCAGTTGCAAATTTGTTTAATTAGGGATGTCAGCTGGTTATGTCATAGACCCAATCACCCACTAAACTTCCATTTTTTTTTAGTGATGCTGGCTTGTTCTCTTTCACTGCAGGGTGGGGTAGCCTTGTCCTTTATTTAAGTTTTTTCTGGATGTCTTATGTTAACGGAGGGATTCTGATCGCCATATTGCAGTTGGCTTTCCTCTGTTATTCACTTTAATCGCGCTAAGAATAATCGAAATTGCCCAAAAGAAAGTGCCTTAATTATGTTAATCTTTACTAGATGGAGTCCTTGTTGAATCTGTTTTAAATGCACCACGGTTGGCTATCAACCAGGTACACAAGGATAGCAATCTTCGGAACTTTCTGAGCTTTCAAACTTCAAAAAATCACAAGAATTCTTGTTCTTTCTCTGTGTTTTTTTTTTTCAGGATTCTAGTATGGAATATGAGTTTATCTGTATCTTTGTATCCCCTTTTGTTTGATACACTACTAAATATCCTGGCTAATGTTTTGACTCATATTGCTAGGATTCTGATCTTGAGGTGATTGGAATCAAGTCACCTTCAGATGTAAAGTCAAGCTTTATACCAGTTTTTCGATCTGGAAGCTGTGCTGAGAAAGGACCAAAACCATACATGGAAGATGACCACATATGCATAGATAATTTGCCTCAACATTTAGGCGAGATTGCAGGTTTTCCTTCACTTGGAGCTTTCTATGGGGTGTGTAAGTCGAATTCTACCAATGCAAATATAGTACAAATTTATTGTATAAATCCTGATATTACAACTTTGTTCTGTTGAAGTAGCCCTATTTGCTGACTTATTTGTTTGATCAGTGCTTATACCTGGGTAGTTAAGACATATAGTTGCATATCAAGACAATTTTCAGTTCTTTTTTGTCTCTGGATGATATCCGTGATTATCTGGTTCACAAACAATGAAGAATGAACATGTGTTTTGGAAACCTTTGCAGTAGTTGTACTTGTGCATCATATGACATGGTTATGATGTTACAACAGATTAAAAATTGGAATTACCAGATAATCTCCATTTAGGTTCTTATTATTGCATCTACTTTCGACCATCATGTTTTCACTTCAGTTATTGATTGGTGACCATATAAGCTCGTAAAACTTCTATCTTGCTTCTGGCTCTCAATGTTTACCCTATTTGTCTTCACCGTACTTTTCATTAACTGACACACTATATTGGCAGGTGTTTGATGGTCATGGAGGTACAGATGCAGCATTATTTGTGAGGAATAACATTCTGAAGTTTATAGTTGAGGATTCATGTTTCCCTGCTTGTATAGATAAGGCAATTAAGAATGCGTTTCTGAAAGCTGATTATGCATTTGCTGATGATAGTTCCCTCGACATATCTTCTGGCACCACGGCCCTGACTGCACTCATATCTGGAAGGTAAGATATTGAACATGGCATGTTACCAATTTATGCTATCCCTTTCTATTAATCAAAAGGAAGAATTATGTAAATAAAAGGAAGGAGAACCTGAAACTGATATTATTATGGGCAGCCTTTGTAGTCTGTTGCATTTTGTATTTGCTTCAGTTTAAACTTTTTTATGTTTCTGCCCAGTTCTACCTGAGTTTGATTTATAATTTGCAATCGCATAATAATGAAATTTCCACCTTAATAACATATAATTCCTTTTCAGAGTTTTATGTGGCAATGTAGATGAAATGCTTACAGTTTCTGTCTTTGACCAAAGTAAGTATGTAAATTATCTAAGATTAGGGTATGCATGTTCAGTTCAGGTGTATATGTCAAACTACGTGACCAGGGTCAAAATTTAAGACCTTAAAATGGGTCAAAATGTCTTTGGTTTTGGTTATTGCAGGTACGACGTATGTAAATAAATATGCTAAGATGCTCCAAATGTTCAATTTCTATAAATCTATTACAAAATTGGAAGTATATGAATCAGGATTCGGGAAGAAAATTAAGTAGTGCATTTCAAGAGAGAAATTTATTACCTATAGGTTATAAGAAGGAAAATATATATTGTAGTTGAAGGATGGTAGAAATAATCTTGTTATCTTTTCTGTAAATGGTTTAACTCATCCACCTGTTTAAAGTATCCGAGACTCGTATCATTTTCGAAGGACCAAAAATGTAAATAGTATCAATTCTGACAAGAATGATGTGATAACTAATGTCATCCTGCCAAGGAAGTTTTTGCATAGTTAGAACCTTTACTGGCTCAGTGGAGCCTCTTACTTCGTCTGATGTGTCTTTTGAAAGAACTCATGCTGGATTATGTATAACATAATTTTACGTTCTACAGAACAATTGTAGTGGCCAATGCAGGTGACTGTCGAGCTGTGCTAGGGAAACGGGGTAGAGCAATCGAGCTGTCTAAAGATCACAAGCCTAATTGCATGTCTGAAAGACTTCGGATAGAAAAACTTGGAGGAGCCATATACGATGGTTACCTTAACGGCCAACTGTCTGTAGCACGCGCCCTTGGAGACTGGCACATGAAGGGCCCGAAAGGTTCTGCTTGCCCTTTAAGCTCTGAGCCTGAGTTGCAAGAAACGCTATTGACTGAGGATGATGAGTTCTTGATTATGGGCTGTGACGGGCTTTGGGATGTTATGAGCAGTCAATTTGCTGTTACAATGGCTAGGAAAGAATTGATGCTGCACAATGATCCAGAAAGATGCTCAAGAGAGCTGGTTCGGGAAGCGCTGAAGCGCAATACATGTGACAACTTAACTGTTATTATAATTTGTTTCTCCCCTCTAGGAGGTGGCGCATATCTTTATATGCAGAGTCGAGTAAGGAGGAGTATATCGGTTGAAGGGTTGAATCTTCTTAAAGGTGCACTTGAAAGCAACTCATGAGAAGATAGAAAATGACACTGGGTCTCCTTTTCAGGGGTTTACATCCAGTGGTCTCATAGTTTGTAATTTGTATCTTTTGAATCATGTGTATATTTGCGAGGGTGGTATTGTACCATTTGGATGAACGAAACATTTAGCTCTTGAGCTAGTGTAGAATGTTTTCTACTGATGCATAGAATTTCAGAACCATTTCATAGTCCAACTCTCTTTAACTTCAGATTGTGCAAGATTTTTCCTTTTCTGCGATGAAAACAGCCAGATCAATTCTTTGTATCTGAATGAACACGATGTCATTAGTACTGCTACTTAGATTCGTGTTTAAGACCAGTGGTGCTAAATGGAATTACTCTTTGGAAAAATGGCACCTTAAAAACTCAAGCTATGCATAAATGAGTATAATGCGTCTTTAATCGAGTTTTCTTTGATTAATTTTCCGGCCATCATTATACTGTCACCCAAATTTTAATTGGGTCTATATTCTTCAAATTTTGCCAATTGGATCATTATACTTTAATTTTGTTTTTCATTTGGTCACTCCGTCCAATTATATCATGTTGACTAAATTGGCTAACGTCAAATGCTATGTGAGCGTTAATAGAATTTTAGTGTATTTCCAAATTTGTAATTATTTTTAAGACAATTTTTCCAAATGCTATGTGAGTAATTATTTTTCCAAATGTGTAGGAACGAATTTTTTGAGACGCGTAAAATTTGACTATCCATTCTCTTCTAACGTCTCTCCTATTCAATATGAAAATCTAACCCATCTAAAAATGCTCACAAGTGCAAAGTACATCTCTGCATTCCAACTGCACATTTTATTTACATTCACTTTTTGAAAAAATAAAACCAAACATTGAGTGAAATAAAATAAAAATATGTTTTTTCATGAAAAAAATTACAAGTCACATGCACGAGTAAAAAGTTTCAATACTCATCGAACTTTGCATATTGTCATGTTATAGTTACTGAACTATGTTATTACCATGGATGGTCACTGAACTTACTAGAACTTGCCTCCATCCATCACTATTTAAAGAACAGTGTCAATGGCGTCCCAAGTGGCAAGACAGACTCCGACGTGGCACTGCATTATAACGCATCCACTTGAGTTGTTGTTTGCATAACACGATTTTACCATAGAAAAAATGAAAACACATCAAATGATTTCCAAATTCAATTCAGCCCAAACCTCACCCTAGAAATCAATTTGGGGGAAATTGTTGTTGGAAATTGGTTTAGAAGATTAAAAATTTGGTTAAGTATCAAAATCAAAAATTTGAAAAAGTGACTTTCGCGTCAACTTCGGCCAAATATTCGGACTTGGTCCGATGGTCAAATTACAAATGTAAGTAGATCAATTTGTTCTAGTCGTCGAATAGGTCGTCGTGGTATATTTGGAATCTCAAAATCAATTTCGGATGAAGGAAAAATTGCGGTCCAAAATTGGGAAGAAAATAGAGGAAATTGTCGAAATTTTGCCTAAGTGTGTCTCACCTGACACTGGACTGTCGCTCGAGCGACGGTTAGCGACGAAGTCACTATTTTTATCGCTCGAGCGAGGCAATGGCGACAGTCTAGTGATAGTGAATGGTGCGACCTTTGGTAAGAATTGTTGAGTTTAGGGTGCGGCACTTCATTCACAACCCCTCATCCTCTATATATAGGACCCCGTCCGTTCATTAGGCATCTCATACTATATTTGTATTGAGCATTGCATAAAAGCTCTGGCAAATCACTTTCAAATTCATTCAAAACCGTTTTCTTCTTTGTATAGAGAAACTCCGTCGAAAGTTTGCCGTAACTTGTGGTTTGAAGTGCTTCTATCACAAGTTGAATCCGTTGTATTTTGGGAGACAAGTGCCGTAAACTGTGAGTACCGTTGCGGAGCAATTTTGTTTTAAGGAAAGAGTGAAAAGCACTTGCCTTTGATTGTTCTTCTTCTTCCCTTCTTGATTTTAATTATTAGTTTTCGTTTGTAGTTTACATACTACATTTTCACCCATATCTATAGTGTTTAATCACGCTCTTGTTGATTAAATTTGCTTTTTGTTTGTTCGATATACAACAACCCTTTCACCCGCACTTATATTTAGCCAGCAGACCAACAATATTAAGACAAAATTTTGTGTCGTGGTTGTTGTTAATCTTTTCTCTTCATCTTTTGGAATACACATTCGTGTGATATTCCCTTATTTTGATTTATTTGCGTTAAACTTCTGTTTGTGTAATATAGATGGCCACCACTGAGGTTACTTCGAGTCAAAATGGTTCAAATAATGTAGTTCCGCCATTGGCTATACCATTTCAAAATACTGCAATCCTGCATGGGGAAAAATCAGAAAAGTTTGGAGGCGTGGACTTCAAAAGATGTTATATCTTACCACTCTAAACTTGACAAAGTTTTTGAAGGAAACTACACCGGTGGTACAAGAAGGAGATAATAATCGTGAATCGATTATTACTTTGGATGCATGGAACCACTCAGACTTTCTATGCAAAAATTATATCCTGAACGGATTGGACAATACACTATATGGAATATATAGTTCAAAGAACTCGGCCAATGAACTGTGGGATTCTTTGGAGAATAAATACAAGACCGAAGATGCCGAAACTAAGAAATTCATAGTAGGCAAATTTTTGGACTACAGGATGGTGAATTCCAAAATGGTGATTAGTCAAGTGCAAGAACTTCGAGTTTTACTACATGACATTCATGGCGAGAAAATGAATTGAGTGAATCTTTCCAAATTGCTGCTATCATCGAAAAGCTCCCTCCTATGTGGAGAGACATCAAAAACTACCTCAAGCATAAATGCAAAGAAATGAACTTGGAAGAGTTGATTGTCCGCTTGAGAATCGAAGAAAACAATAGAAAATCTAATAGAAAGCCTATTGTCCAACTTGGAGCAAACTTTGTTGAAACCAACTCGAAGGCTATCAACAAGAAGTGAAGGTTCTCCGGTGAGGCACCGCGAAGAGACAACTCCAAGAAGGCCAAAAAGTTCAAAGAGAATTGCTACAACTGTGAAAGGGCCGGACATCACTCAAGAGAATGTTGAAAATCAAAGAAGAATGCATATGCTAACATGGTTGAAAGAGACACCATTTTCTGAAGGGATGCAAAAGATGAATTTATCTACATTTGTTTTCGAGTGCAACCACGTTGGAAACTCAAGGGAATGGTGTGTTGACACTGATGCTACTCGTCATGTGTGTGCAAATAAGGTGATGTTCTCAAATTATCAAAAACTGGATGGAGAACAACTCTTCATGGGGAACTCTACAAGTTCCAAAGTTGAAGGTCACTTTAAAGATGACATCCGACAAAGAACTCATCATCAACAACGTCCTACATGTGCCAGACATACGGAAGAATCTAATGTCCGGATCTCTACTTAGTAAAAATGGCGTTAAGATTGTATTTGTCTCCGATAAATTTATACTCATTATGAATGAGATATATGTAGGAAATGGATACATGTGTGATGGGATGTTCAAAATGAACATTCTTATTGTTGTACCAAGGCAAAGCATTATGAATAAAACTTTAGATTCTGCTTATATGCTTGAGTTGTCTTGTTTGAGGCATAGTCGATTAGGACATGTGAATTACAAATCTTTGCGCAAACTTATAAATCAAAGTTTAATTACAGCGCTTATGATCGATCCTAATCATAAATGCGAAGTATGTGTTGAAGCAAAATTGGCTAAAACAGCGTTTTACTCGATTTAAAAGAACACTACACCTTTAGAGCTAATACATAGTGATATATGTGATTTGAAATATGTTCAAACTAAAGATGATAAGAAATACTTTGTTACTTTCATTGATGATTGTACAAAGTATTGTTATCTCTTTTTTTTTAAGAAATAGAGACGAGGCATTGAATGCCTTTAAGCATTATAAGGCGAAAGTTGAAACTCAACTTGATAAATGAATAAGAATATTCTAGTGATAGAGGATGCGAATATAGGGCACCGTTTGAAGAATTCTTTTTCGAACATGAAATTATTCATCAAACAACAGCACCATACTCTCCTCAATCGAATGATGTTGCTGAACGCAAAAATCGAACTCTTAAGGAAATGATGAACGCCACGTTGTTGAGTTCGGGGTTGCCTCAGAACTTGTGGGGGGAAGCTATTTTAACAGCAAATAGTATTATTAATAAAATACCCCTCAAGAAAATAGAAGAAACTCCATATGAATTATGAGAAGGTCATCATCCTTCCTACCAACGCCTGAAAGTGTGTGGGTGTTTGTCTAAGGTTGAAATCTCTAAACCTAAGCAAGTAAAGATTGGTCCCAAAATGATTGATTGCATATTTATTGGATACGTCAATAATATTAGTGTATATCGATTCCTTGTACACGAATCCGAATTCAAGATGTACATAAGGGAACAATAATTGAATCAAGAAATGCGTCATTTTTCGAGAATGTGTTTCCTTGTAAGGAAAAAGAAAATGTAAGTTCAAATAAAAGAACTTATAATACTACAAATGGTATTTCAAATAAAGAAAAATCAAGGCATAGTAAAATGGCAAGAATATCAACTTTGTTTGACCCAGATTTTCTAACATATATGATAGAAAATGATCCAAAAACTTTCGATGAAGCCATGTGTACACCAGAAGTACCGCATTGGAAAGAAGCTATCAATAGTGAGATAGATTCGATAATGCAAAACCATACTTGAGAGTTGGTTGATTTACCTCCCAAAAATAAGCATTTAGGGTGAATGGATTTTTAAGAAGAAACTTAAACCGAAAGGATCCATTGATAAATATAAGGTTAGATTGGCTGCCAAAGGATATAGGCAAATTACAAATGTAAATAGACCAACTTATTCTACTCGTCGAGTAGATCGTCTGGTATATTTGGAATCTCAAAACCAATTTCGGATTAATGAGAAATTGCGGTCCAAAGTTGAGAAAAAAATAGAGGAAACTTATTTTGCCTAAGTGTGATGCTGGACTGTCGCTCGAGCGAC